GGCTCCGTGAGAAACGCTGGGGCAGCTCCGGCCGTGGGGAAATTCAGCAGCCGCTCCATTTAATCACCTCCTTATCAGCACTGGCAGCTCACACACAAAAGGCTTCGGCAGCCGTTCCGTTCTGTTTGCTTTCCTCTGCAAAACTTCTCCGGGGTAATTGTATAGAGTAAGGTAAGAATGGTCTATGTGTGAAATACAGCCTTGAATTCTGATACCAGATACAACTGCTGGCACCCCATAATTTCAGTTTATCTTCTAATTTCTAGCATTTAGAAAAATGAAATCAGTAATAGATATTAGGAGGAAAACCATGTATCAAAGACAGTAATTCTGTAAATGTGCCCTACATTATCAATAAAGGGAGATTCTAAAGTGATGTCTCATCTGTCCCTTATTAACCTGATCATGTTTAAAGGAAATATACATATATACACCCAGAACATTCAAATAAACAAGTCTTTGTTGATTACTATTTCCCTCTTTTTGCTTTTTCTGCTGTACCATTTATCTTTCATGTTTGCTCTGGAAAGATCTTCCCGTATCTTTTTTCCCTCCTCCTTCCCTCATCAGGCATTGATGTTTTACTTGCAAGCTTTTCAGTATTTTGATTCAGCCCTAATTTTCTTACATTATTGCCTGATTTATACAACTGCTTCCAAGCCTCTGTTGCTTCTGGTGGGTCATCCTTCTAAATTTCAGAAGGAGATAGAGGGTAACTTTCCAAGCAGGAGTAAGAGATAATTCAGCAATTAATCTCTGGCATTGAGTTGGATTTGCTTGTGAACAGAGGGACCAGGGCTGTGACTCCTGCCCTGAGTGAGACATCACAGGGCAGCACCACATCTGAGTCTGAGCCCTCTGGAAAGGCAGGACTGGCTGCCAACAGGAGCACTTTGGTAGTTTGAGCCTGTTTTCCTTAGTTGGAAAAGAGTCTCTTCCTTTTTAAACTTGTTTAGATTTCCTGCCATGGGCTGTTCATAAGTCCTTAAGGAGCACAAAGTATTCATGAGGTACA